CAAACACTGCATAATCTAAAAAACAGTGCGAATAATAAGACAAAATCCTTAGAGTATTTTTGGTAATTAAGAATGTTATAAGAAAATCATTATGAAGACGTACCAAAAAATAATTTTATTTTTATACCAGTAGGCACGCGTAAATCCGACCTTAACGAGTTGTTTTCTACGTCCAAATATCGACCTTAACGGAGTTGTTTTCTACGTCCAAATTTTGTGCCACGCTTTTTTCAGTATTTTTAAGAGTGACATGATATGAACATGTTTTGCTGTGTTATCTTTTTAGAAATTTGTACCAACATAGATTTTTTTTGATTACTAGAATAGTTTGACTTTAATTCTGCACGGAAATATTTTTTGAAAAATTTCGTTTATAATGAATTTATTGTTTTTTGAAACTTCCTTGTTGTTTATGCATCAGGTATGTATGTAATATGAAGTAATATGTATGTAATATGAAGGAATGTTGTAGTAGTATGTATGTAATATGAAGGAATGCTGAGACTTTTTTCTAATATATTCAGACATCAGCAAAAACCTTTTTTCTTGCTACCTGGCAAATTTTATGAAAAAAAGCACCTCCAGACACCCTAATAATTCACCCGAAATAGGTACCTATTTTTGATTTGATTTCCGCTATACACACGGTTTGATTTAATTTTAAAATTTTATGTCACATACTTGTTTTTAAAAGCAAGACGTTTTTTTAAACTGCAAACTGCATTAAATATTTTGCTAATCGAGTTGTTAAGATTACATATACACATTTTTTCAATTTAAAATTCTTTTTAGAGATTCTTATGTATGTAGAGTTTCAAATCTTTAGTTTCTTTAGTGTTTGTTAATAAATACTTTACTATTTAATAACAAATACTGTTTGTACTTTCTTTTGTTAGATGAGCATTTCTCTAAAGTATTTACAAACAGTATTTGATATTATTAATATTAGTATTGAATAATATTAATAGTAAATTATTTTGTTATATTATTTATATTATTAGTAAATATCAGTTTATTTATATTAATAGTAAATATTTAAAAATATTTAATAGTAAAGTATGCATAAGCAAGCATATGCGTAAAGAATTACATATTTTATAACTATTTATTTTCTTTTAAACAAAACTACAGAGTGCATGTTATTTCTATTACTATTCTTTAGTTAGTTTCTTTTCAATTCTTTATATGTTGATTCTATTTTATATCTGTTGATTATAACAAGAAATATAACTTGACTCAGATAACTTTAAAAAAAATATGAGTCAAGTTATATTTCTTATTTGTTTCTTTATTTGCGATATTCCAGTACTTAGTAAAAAACAAAAAAATAATAAATAACTATTTTCATTCTTGTATTTTCTGCATAAAAGTTCTTTATTAGTTTAAAAAGTTTATAACAAACTTCAAAATAAATTTTTGTTACTTAAATACACTAATAATTTTGTTTTATCAGCCCTGTAAAATGAACTAATGTAATATTGGCCTAAAATATGTCAAAAATAGGTATTTGTATTAAAGTGAAAACAATTAAGATTTGTATATCTATAGCAAATATTTGTCATTAGAGGCTGTTTAAATAATAAGCAACGCTTTTTTGAGCTTTTTAAGACTTCTATCTTTTAACTATTTGTGACATGTTTATTAACTCCCCCTCCCCCTTCTTTTATGTGCCGTGCTATTATTTTTAAATAAAATATATCTCCGAGTTTGTTGTTTTTTTGCTAAAATTTTACATAATATATAATAAAAACTAAAATTAAAAGTTTTTTTGTCACATCACACTGTAGCTAACCACCCTCCCCATGTAATATTTGTTAAAACTTTCGAAACCCCTCCCCATAAGGCTGTCACCCATTATTTGAATAGTCCCCAAATAGTTATTTTTCCAAATAAAACAAATGTTATGTAATCAAGGCATTATATCATTTAAAAAGGGGTTATAAAAGCAGTTATTACTCGCATTGTGGTAAGTCAGTAAACAATTGCTTCTAATTATATTTTTTTGTGTGATTTTCAACCACTTTAAAAACTTTACGGTCTTATCAAAGAGCACCGGGGACATGAACTTTATGCTTCCTTCATATTCGATGTTGCAAAACTTGCTCAAAGGTGGGTTCGAACCACGGAACCCTTGCATCTGAGGCAAGTGCGCTACCACTGCGCCTTGGCTGCTCGAATTCAATAGTTTTAAAGACTATAAAGTATCAGTTGTTCTCTCTTTTTGAAATAATATTTTCCAAAATAACTAGCTCTAAAATATGATGATGACATCCGAATCCAAAAAGAGTTTTCATAAATTTTCATTGCAAGCATTTTCATAGATTGAATGTCTAATTTTTTGCTGAAACTGAATTGTAATAAATCATTTTTCCTACTTATTTCTCTAGTTACAACCAGGGCAGACGACACGGGTTTCGAAGGGGGGCACAATCGTCCAATTCTAAAAAAAGTCTTCTATATCTAGAATTTTTTTTTTTAAAAGAAAAAAAATGGGGGGGCAGGGTGGAGTTGAAGTGTCCCTGGCTCCCCGTGTTGTTGGTTCTGACAATTCCACTTTTAAAACTTAACCTTTTTTGGAGGATAGTGAAAAATTAATTGCAAGATTTTGTACCAAAAAAGTGGACAAGTTCAATACGACCCTTCCCCGGGTCTATGCCCCGAGAAACAAAACATATCTTTAACATAGAAGCTCACAAGGACTATAAAAGCGCTAAAAGTTTCAAAGCTGTTGCTAGTCAGAAAGGTAGTGATAAATTAATTGTAAGATTCAGTAAGAACTGACAACGACAAAACAACACGTGAAGTTAAATTAAACTTTGTAATGGAACCAAATAATTTACTGGATTTTTATTTATAAGAGTATAAATAATAAATCTCAATTTCTGCAAAGTTAAAAGCAACAAGCAACCAATTAAAAAACGGAACAGATGTAATGGATATATATATATATATATATATATTAGGGTGTCCCAAAAAAAAAAAAAAAAAAGCTCTACTGATTCCCATTCTATGTGACCTAAATAAGTACTAAAAAAAATTTGACGGTTTTATTTTGACAGGAATTGCTAGATGTAAAATCTGAGTTTTACTGTTTTAATGTTAAGCTAGCTTAACATTAATAGAAAACACATTTTAGAAAATTAAAACAAAACAATTAGATGGGTATAAATCATTTCCAATTGTTTTCTACTATTTAACTTGATAGATTATATTTATAAATATGAAAATACAAAAAAAATACATGAAAACTTTTATTTATTAGCAAATTTAAGATTTTATTGCGGTGAAACATTTCTTAAAAAATGCAACTTTTTGAACAGTTCCCAAGCTCCTTTTTAGTCATAGTCCTAGTCAAGTTTTTTCTAGACTTTTTAACTACAAAAAGTACATTTTGAAGGTGATCTTCATCTCTAGTAGCTGAAATAAAATCTTTAATGAGCTTAATGTTTCTTTCTGCACCATCATTTACAACAGATATGTTTTTGATCCATGCAATAAAATCTAGCAACTGAGGATGGTTAAAAACATCTATAGTATTAAAACTATTATTAAGCCATTCTTTTATACTTGCTCTTGATATTTTAAAATGTTTGTAGAGAAGGTAGCTTTGCTCGGAAATGAACTCAGGTAGCTCTGTGGTCTCTCCAATTTGTACATTTGATGGTTTACAACGCTGAAATTCATTTGGCTCTTCAAACTCAATCAGAGCTAACAGCATTCTTAGCTTTGTTTCAGAAGGAACTTCTTTATCCTCAAAGGAAAAACACAGAGTTGCGGAGTTAAGTACCACGTATGGCGACCCATGCTGAGAAGCAAAGCATTTCCAATATTCTTACTAACTTTTCTCAATGCATAGGCTGTCTGGATAGCTTTCAAATCATTGTAGGGAGCCATAAATCCTAAAAAACTTTTTAAAAACCATGGAACATAGCAAATTGCAATGAACAAACTTGCATCCTTCAACTGCAGCATTTCTTTTTCTGTCAAGATATTACTGATATCTTTAGTCATATAAAGAGTCAGGATGTAGATCGCATCTGCTAAAAACCTTACCTCATGGCAGGCTCCAGGTTGATGGAACTTAAAATCTTGTATTTCCACTCCAAGGAAGAAGGAGGCAAGCTTACAAACTATACCATAATCATTCGTTGAAAACACTATATCAGTAGTTGCATTAGTCAAAAATGTCTTAGCTTCCTCTGCAACAGTGCGACGAACAGAGCCAATCTTCAGATCATCTCTTTGCCAGTCCAATTTACATATATTTTTCACTTCATTTACTTTCTCACAGATTTCAGGCCACTTGTTCTTTAGCTTGACATAAAGAGCTCTTCTTGGACCTTTAGTTTTCTTACCAGTAAGGGCAGCCATATAGTGAGATACATGTATTTCATATATGTGTCTCCTACACATTATCCACAAAATTGGTAATTTCAAAATACCTGTAAGAATTTGGACTGCTCCATTTACTCCGCCTGTATTGCTTGCAGTTGTATCACAGCATATACCAATGATCTGCTCTTTACATCCGTAATATTCTAAAAGATTGTGCACTTGTTCTGCTTGGTCAACTCCCTTTGAAGAGGGACATTGAACAACACCTAAAAGATGGTCTTTCATGGTATCGTCATCCGGGGAACTCACTGAGACTGCAAGTCGCTCAATTTTTTGAATAATGTTATGCCCAGTGGTAATTTGTTCCAACATTTTGGTATCAAAATGAAGAATAAACCGTCGGCCTTTAAGATGATTAGATATTGAAATCCACTCCGAGTCTCCTTCAAGTTCTACATATTTGAACTTTTTTCTATGAAGTGTGCTTCGTGAAAGCGGTATATCATTAATTTCTATACCTCCAGCTTTAAATATTTCACTTAAAATTGCCAGATTAGGTCGTACACCAACATTGAACCTTGTTGCTGGAATAGCAGTACATTCAATGAGCTTTTCAACATTCACTGCTAGATTTATCCTATCTTCAGAATTGTACCTTGGTATCATTTTATAATATTTTTCTGCCTATTTATAATTATATACTTTTCAATAAAACAGCATTAGCTTGTGAAAATTACAACTATGTTAATAAAATAATACTATACCTGCGTTTCCGACCGTTACCCAGGAAATCATCTTCCTCGCTGGTTTCAGAGTCCTCGTTTGACTTTTCTTCCTCACTGCTGAATTGAATCTCTTCTGTCATGGAGTCATGTGACAACAAAACATCATTGATATCTTTTAAGTTTTTCTGTCTCTCTAATTCTTTCTCTCTCAACTTATCTAGCTTGTTCTTTCTCCTGTTTGCATCCAGTACTCTTCTACTGTAGTCTTCATCGACTTTTGTTTCCATATATCCTTTCCTATGTAACTTCTGGTCTTCATAAAAACTAAGAAATATTTAAATCTATTAAGCCATTTATAAATAAATTAATAATTGTTCTAGTTTTTCTTGGAAGATGACCAAACCATGTAAAGAGTTAAACGTAAATATTTTAAAGGAAATAATATGCTATTACTTAAGTTACTTTTAATTGGAACAAAAAATCTCACTACTAAAAAAAGTGTTATTTAATGAACTTACTTTATATCTTCCAGCTTGGCATCATCTGTTCTCAATCTATCAGCAAGAATATCTTTTTTAAAATTCTTAGTCGAGATGTCAAAAAGCTGATAGGATTCTGTGAGAAAATCTTTCTCTAACATTGATTGCTTATCAAGACTGCTGTTTCAGTTTAGAGAAGACAATTTAATCAATTTCTTGTATTTTAAATTAAGTTGAATGATTTTGGTCTTTATATTGTACGCAGAAATCACAAACTTCTTGCCAAACCCAGCATTATCCCAAATTTTTTAAATCCTAGATACCAAGCAAGAATTATCAGGATCTGTAAAAACACCATTTTCACAAACAACATCCTTGAATTTCGATTTCAATTTGCAACCAACATTAGTAGAAGTGGGTTTGTATTTAACTTGTGACTCGCGAAGGATAAATTGATAGTATCTAAGAATATCACCATTAGATGGAAGCTGTCTCTGAGGTAACTCCCTCAGTGGGTACTTCAATAGGTAAATATACCTCAACCTTTCTGTATTTTTCCGTTTTTTCTTATTCTGTCATATCATCTTCTTTTTTTTAGCTGTTCTACCCATCTTTATATGAATTTCGAAATAATCAGTTTTTTAACTAAACTTTTACTAAATGTTACACTTGCATTAAAAATCTATGAAGTCGTTATTCCCTCTCGTATAATATTTTATCTAAGTTTACCGTTACGGCTTTTATAACCGTTTACACGAGAATTTCTTCGTGCACAAATTAGAATTCTGTCGTGCACAAATAATTCCATTTAGAAATTTTTTCCTTCAAAAAAAATTTCTAAATGGAATTATTTGTGAACCAATCCATGGGGAATTATACCAACTAATAACATTGTCCAGAGGGAAAAATATCAATCGCTAACAATGTTCATAGGGAATGATCCTATTCTTTAATAATATATGGGAATTATTTGTGTACTAATTATTACATCATATTAAAACATATTGAAATACTAGATAGCGCTGTTTTTTAGTAAATACACATATGTGTACAAAACCGTAAAACTCAGAATTTACATCTATCACTTCTAGTCATTAAAAAGTTAAAAAAAAAGATTTTGATAGCTATTTAGGACCTATAGAATGGGGATAAGTTGAGAGCACATTGAAATTTTAAAAAAAGTGTGTTTTTGGGACACCCTAATATATATATATATATATATATATATATATATATATATATATATATATATATATATATATATATATATATATATATATCTGTGTGTGTGTGTGTGTGTGTGTGTGTGTGTTCCTAAAACAACTTGCATATAACAATATTTCCAAAAAATGCATACTATGCCTTCAAGAAAAATTTGAAACTATTACACATGCAAATCAAGAATGTTTATCAAACAAAAAAGCGGAATTAATTTCTAAATGCAGGCACGAAAATAAGTTTCTCCTAAAAAACTATAAAAATAAGTGAGTTCAAATAATAATTACATTAAATCCCCCCTTTTAAAAAATATTAAAAAAAGCAGAAGTAATCAATTCTAAAGAATTCTTATAATAATAGTGTCAGCATATTCCACAAATGTGTAAAAATTTACAGTAGTAATTTTTCTTTTAATTGTAATTTAATTTTTTGGTATAAATTGAAGTTTTATTAATTTGATCATTCATTTCCGATGAGTCTATATTGATGAAACGCTGTGTTAAATGAAAGTGCTCAATATTTAAGAAATTTATTTTGATTATATATAAATTTCATAACAGAGCGGTTTATAATTAAAAACGAAAAAAGAAAAAACTTTTATTATGGAACTTTAAGTTATAATAATAACTAGCTTAGCTCTTAAAATCCCCTTCAAAAACTTTTTTTGAAAATGTTTGAAGACATTTTTTTTTTATTTAACTTAGTTTGTTGCCGAATAATTACAAAAAACACACACCTTTTATCTCATATATTAGGTCTATTTTTTTACTTTTTAACAATAGCGCCATTTAAAAACACATAAAAATGTATCTAATAAATTTAAACTCACTTTTTCCTATCTTTAATTCCGTATAAGTGTCCAACCTATTTTTTTAAAGATTGTAATTCTAACGTGGAATATAAATATATATCTCTAAAATACTACGTTTAAATCCATTTAAAAATTAAATTATTTACTTAGTGCACGCTAATCAAAATATACCATTTTTTATTTATTATTTTCATTTAAAATATTCAGAAAATGGGTAAAATATCAGTTTCAAAATAAACCAAAGAAAGAATTATTACCTTGCACCTTGCTGGTAATTCTACAAAAAAAATTCAGTGGATCCTCAAGAACATATTGCAGTCTTGTGTCACTAAAACAATAGCTAAGTGGAAAAAGTAGGTAGCACCTTAGATAAAATCAAATTCGGAAGACCCAGAAAAACCACTACCACTGATGATAATATTATATATAGAATTGCCAGAAAAAATCCTAAGTATAGTGCCAAACAAATTGCTCAAGAAATAAATTCAACTCCTAAAAATGATATCTCAAGGCAGACAGTAAATAGAAGTTTAATTGATCGTCACCTATGCTTGTATACTGCTTCTAGAAAACCTATGCTTAAACAATCAGATCGGCTCAAACGGTACAAGTTTGCAAAAAAATTCTCAAGATGAGTGATAATGATATAAAAAAAATAGTATTTAGCAAAGAATCAAATTATACAGTCGTTAATCGAAAAAATAGAGTAATAGTTCAAAGATACCATAATGAGAAGTTTTATAATCGTTTCAATGTACCTCGTTTACAGGGTGAAGGAAGTTCAGTTGGGATCTGGGGTTGTATCACATATGATGGACCCTGACTATGCTACTTGTACACTGGTAGAATGGACCAATACATATGTATTGAGACGTTTGAATATCATATTTTTAATAAATCGTAGATTCCAACAAGAGACCTATTTTTTGGAGATTTTTAGCATTTTTATTACCAATTCTTAACAACTTCTTGGTTCTTTTATATCCACTTCTCCGTGTGATTTCTTAACTCTTTTATAACCACTTTTTTACGGGATACAATCTTTCTATCTCTCGTACAACTAATCTTACCACTTTCTAGCATACTTTAACTAAACATCAGCTTATTGCAAATTAATTTTTAATTCAAAAAAAATGAAACTATGCCTTTATAATGCATGACGTAAATATTAGTACATATGGTTTAGGTTTATTCATTCATGGTCAAAAATAAATTTACAATTTTTTTTTGACAAAGAGCGGCACACCAGGTCTTTCTGTTATGAAAATACAGTTTTTCAATTTCAGCTTAAGTGAAGATGCCGTAGTAGAGAAAGTTCGTATTTAAAATTGTTCAAGTTCTTTGCGTCCACCGCATTTTGGGTTAAAGAATTCCATAATCTTACAATACGGTTGGTGAAGAAGTTGCTTCTTTCAGCGCAGTTTCGGACAAGATGTGCTCTTAGTTCTTTAGTGTGTCCACGCGGCCGAAAACTGTACTTTGAAGATTCCGTGTTAAGCTGAAGTTGAGGGACGTGAAAGTTAATTTTATCAACTTTGATCATGATTTTATATTGTTCGATAAGGTCTCCTTTTTCTCGTCGTTCAGTAAGTGTTGTCAGGTTAAGGCTTGATAGTATTTGACCATACGAAAGGTGTTTAAGGGAGGCAATATGTTTTGTGGCTCGGTGATGAACTTGCTCAATTTTGGCAATGTCTTGAGCTAAAAACGGTGACCAGGCCTGTACTGCAAATTCTAGGTGTGGGCGAACGTACAAAATAAACAGTGTGCGCCATACTGCAGAACATCGACCTCGAAAAGTCTTCGAGCCTGCTAAGCATTCGGTTGCCAGCTGATGCAGCCGCACAGGCTTGTTTTTTAACTTTTAGGTCACTCGTTATAAAAACGCCTAGGTCTTGTTCAGATGACGTACAATATAGCTGGTGCAATTGGCCGTCCAGGTTGATCATTGTATAAATTGCAGTCGATTTTTTTTGTTGTTGCTGTGCCCGGTGTGCATGGCTTTGCACTTTTCAACATTAAATGGCATGAGCCATGTGTGCGTCCACTTCACTGCTTTGTTGATATTGGCTTGGAGTTTTATGATGTCATGGTTTGATTCTTTAGTTCCGATTATTTTACAGTCATCTACATACATTTTAAAGTGATGTTGTATTTTGTCTGGCAAATTGTTAATGGAGATAAGGAACAGGAGTGGTCTAAGAACAGATCCTTGTGGCACACCGCTAAAGACAGTTTTCCAATTAGATTTATTGTTACCAATGGTTACGCGTTGTAGCCGGTCGGTTAGCCAGCTTTTGATCCAATCGTGCAAGTTGTCGGACACTCCATATAATTTTAGCTTGTGCAGCAGACAACGGTACGGAACTTTGTCGGATGCTTTAGCAAACTCTGTGAATATGATATCAGTTGGGTAACCTTTGCGGGCAGCTTCAGTCAGGATGTCGCAAGTTTCGAGTAGGTTAGTGACGCAAACTTTTCCTTTTCGGAACCCGTGTTGAATAGGGCTGATGAGTTTATTTTTGTTTAAGTGGTCAATAATATGTTTGTGTAAAAAGCTTTCCATTACCTTGCAAGGGACAGAGGTGCGTGAGATAGGTCGATAGTTTGAGGGGTTCAACTTGCAGCATTTTTTGAAAACAGGAATAATTTCGGCTTTTTTCCATTGAGACGGTACTTCTCCAGCTTTAAGCAATTCAGAGAAGATAATGCTCAGCGGGATAGCAAAACCTGCAGCACTGTATTTTAGGACGCGTGGACGAATTCCGTCGAAGACCATTAATTTGGATTCATTCAGGTCCAAAAGTTTTTCTTTGACAGATTCGTATGATGCGAGTGTGGTCGGTTGGATTATGCTAGTGGAACGAGTGTTGAATGTTGGTATAGACCCTGGCGGTTCAATTTCGAAAACTCATTGGAAATATTTGTTGAGAGTGTTGCAAATTACTTTAGGATCTGTTGTAGCTTGATTATTAGTTGTTTCAAGTTGACGATTTCGATCGTGTGTTTCTTGTTTGCTTTTGACGTACAAGTAAATTATTTTTGGGTCAAATCTGCTATTCTTTACCAGTTCCACCTCGTAATCCAGAACGGCTGTTTTAACTAATTTTTTTCTGCTTTACTTGCTTTTTTTCTGCTGTTTGCGTAGAGTTAGCTTGTTTGTT